AAATTTATGAAAATATATACTTGTATAACGTTAAGTTGTCTAAAGTAGTTTTTAAAATTCATGGATACCTTTTTAATTATAAAAAGGCTTGTATAATTCTAATCCATCGAAATATTGAGGACTCTCAATAAAAAGTCCATATATCACATAAAAATATATATGTAGAAAAATCAAATGCAATCAAATATTTTATGAATTCGTCAAATTATATGCATATTAAAAGCAATAGAGAAATTGAAAGTTACTACGATTTTGGACTCCCAGTTAAACGAGACATAACTGACTCTAACCGAAAATAGCCACTTTTATTATTTTTCTGGTTAAGTTCAATGACGGACATTCATAAAGAATGAGACTAGAAGAACTAACGAATTGACCGTAATCGAAAAATAGGTAGTATTGATTTTATCCTGTCTAAGATCAAAGACGGGCAGTTAAAACCATGAGACCAGAAGAACTAATATACTTACCCTAATAGAAAAACAGGTATTACTATTCGTTTCTTGGTTCAGATCACTGACGGGCAGTCAAAAATAATGGAACCAGAAAAAATAATATTCTTTTCTAGTTAAGAACAATGACAAACATTCATAAACAATAAGACCACAATAACTAACATATATTGACCCTAATCGAAAAACAGGTGCTACTATTTTTCTCTTGGTTAAGATTAATGATGGACATTCATAAATAATGATACCAAAAGTCTCATCTCTTTCTAAGCTCATGTGTTGTCTCAGATAGACCAACCTTATTGCGATAGTACCGCAGATATTAATCAGTTTCATTAAGATATTATTATAAAGTTAAATTAAATACAAATTATTACAACTATATAAAAATTTAGTTGTTTTTAATCTATTTATTCCAAAAAATATTTTTACCATAATCTTGTTTATTCAATTTACTTTTTACTATATATTTGGTACGTATATATATACATATATATATGAAGGTAAATATAAGGTAAAAATTATTTGAAAATGGGTAAAATTTGCCCGGTGCATTATGAGAGAAAAAAGGTTGTTAGAATTATAAAGACTAATTTAATAATAAGGCTCATAGACCAGATCAATGATAGGAAAAATTAAGTTAATCAATTTATTTTAAGTGAAATATATAATAGTACAAATTCTTGAATGTACATAAAAATACTCACAATTTGTTACTTATACATGGTCACCACACATATTACCAAATCATTATAATGCTGAAATACATATATGGTAGAGAATAATGCTTCACAATAATTAAGTTATATTGCCACCCTGTAAGTCCTTTGACTGTCTTTTTGTAGCCCAACAATTTGATACTTAGGGAGAGGCATTCGAATGGACTTCTTTTTTCCTTCATATACTTTTATGTTCATTCACGAATTGGTATATAGATATGTTTATATATGTATAAAGATACATATACTTGTACTCGTATATATGCCTACATATGTATATTCGAACATAACTATAAACATATGAATTTACTCTTTTATGCAAAGATTCAGACAAGGACAAACCCAAATAAAAAGGAACACAAAAATAAAATTATATTGATATTTTTATTTTTTATGTTTGTAACGAAAATGCCATTATATAAGAGGTTGCTTAACTTTACTTTATTAAGTTCTTCCTTTTTTCGGCAACAGGAGTCGAGGAGTTGTCTGCTCCACTCAACTTTATTTTGTTTAAGGATATCAAAAAAATGACTTGTCTACACAGTGGAGTAGAAAAGTAAGGGAAACGGCTTATCAATTTCAGCAATTTTAGTATTATATATTTTGTTACAGTGGTGTAGAAAAGTAAGGGAAATGGCTTATCAATTTTTCACAAAAAGTCTATGCTTTTTCGCGTAGACTCCGTGGTGCTAGTATATCAGCATTATCAGTATTGTTGGTCTCAGCCCATGCGATAGATTTATCGATATTTTCAGTAGCCTCAGAACGTTTTACATAATTGTGTTATAATTTTATAAAGAAATATAAATTGTGAAAATAATTAATTTCTCTTCAAGCAATTCATTTTTGGTCATTTGTAAAAAAATAACGAAATTTCTCTCTATTTTTAAAATTTTGAATGTACAACCTAAGAAAATTTTAACTTGAACAGATTTTGAAAAATATTAATTTTTTTTTATGTTCTTATGGGACGACTTAAAGATAAACAGTCTTTAAGTTGGTCGCTTTCATTTACGTAAACATTCAACACTCTCATTGAGTGTCCTGTAAAGACATTAGTCTTATGATAGTTTGCTGATGGGTCACAGTCTTTGAGGAAACTTCCCTAAAAGATTGAATCTTCCGTTTAATCAGAAAATTAAGTGAATGATGCACATGCGCGGCGCTGATATATTATTACAGTAGCTTTATATTTTGAGGATTTTTACCAACTCCAGGATCTCACTCTTATGAACATATTAGGTAACACAATTATACTTATTGTATAATTGGATATTTAGAATCGCCGATATAACCTAACCTAACCTAGATCTCTCTTGGGTACTTATGAACACTTTATAAAAATTTTATTTCAAAGGTTTGAAATAATACTTCAATATATTTTTTTATTTGTTTGTGGGTTCATTTTTTATCGATGTAGCTTTGTTGAATGTATAGAAAATAACGAATCGCTAATAAATGATACTTAATATCAGACAATAAGAATAATTTATTTTTTTTGTCTTTAGGTTTCTTTTGACTATCTATGAATAAGAATATCCAATTTTATTCAATTTGATAGAACCATAACTTCGATAAAATAAATGATACTTAATATCAGAAAATAAGAATCATTTCTTTTTTATTGTTCTAGGTTTCTCTTGACTATCTTTGCATAAGAATGTCCATCGATAAAATATCGAATATCGATAAAATAATGAATGTTACTGATTATTAGAAACTAAGTATCATTTTTTTTTTGTTCTAGGTTTCTTTTGACTATGAATAAGAAGATTCAATTTTAATCAATTTGGTAAGCCCACATATTTAATAAAATTAAAATTACTTATTATCAGAAAATAAGAATTATTCTTTTTTTTTGTTCTTAGATTTGTTTTAATTATCTGTGAATAAAAAGTTTCAATTTTAATCAATTTGGTACACCCATATCTTTTATAAAATAATGATACTTATTATCAGAAAATAAGAATCATTTCTTTTTTTATTGTTCTAGGTTTCTCTTACCTATCTATGTATAAGAATATCCATCGATAAAATATCGAATATCGATAAAATAATGAATGTTACTGATTATCAGAAAATAAGAATCATTTCTTTTTTTGTTCTAGGTTTTTTTGGACTATCTATGAATAAGAATGTCCATCGATAAAATATCGAATATCGATAAAATAATGAATGTTACTGATTATTAGAAACTAAGAATCATTTTTTTTTTGTTCTAGGTTTCTTTTGACTATGAATAAGAAGATTCAATTTTAATCAATTTGGTAAGCCCACATCTTCAATAAAATAATGATACTTATTATAAGAAAATAAGAATCACTATTTTTTTTGGTTAGATTTCTTTTGATTATCTGTGAATAGAAAGATTTAAATTTGGTACACCCATATCTTCTATAAAATAATAATTTTTTATTATCAAAACATAAGAATTATTTTCCTTTTTTTTTGTGTTAGGTTTCTTTTGACTATCTATGAATCCCATTTTAGTCAATTTCGTAAGCCCATATCTTCGATTAAATAAATGATATTTAATTTTTAATATTTTCAACGAATGTACAATAATATTTAAAACATGTGGAGTAATTTTATTTTATGTATATTGCAAATGTTTGAACTCTACGCATAATCAAAACGAATTACAATTTTTTGCTCCTACAGCACTGATGCTATACATACATCACAACCCATAGTCCTGTGCATAGTCCATATACATACGCCTAATAGTACCAAAATTGTATTCACTTATATATTTATAGGTTTGTATTTACGAGTACCACACTTGTAACTTACCTTTTTGTTATTATTATTATTATTGTTTTTTTGTTTTTTTTTTGTTTTTCTGTTCTTTTGTTCATTTTATTTATCTATATCGAGAGTACTCATTTTCAACCCGGCTAAATTGACAATGACTTTGTGTCTACGTGTTTGCGCGTTTACATATGTATATAAACTTTTAGGGACAAAATAAAATGAAATAAAATACAATAAAAACAGAACATACATATTTACGTTATGTATGTGTGAGCGTGTATGCGTAGTAGTGTTTTGTATACAGTACATTTGCCGACAGACAACAACGAGATTCGCTGTTAATCTCGACAAAGCTTCTCAGCGCGAAGGACGTGTTGTGTCGGCTCCCGGGTGATTTTTTATTGTTGCTCTATGTTCGTAAGCATTCGTGTGTGTACGAAATTTATAGTTGTCGGCTTCAATTGAAGTGTTGTACAGTGAGTTGAGCACTGTACAGTGAGCATAATTTTAACAGTGTTCTCTTTATAAATTGAATTTGTGCTCTTTGTTGCATGCGTTAGATGTGTACTTTTCCTCCGTTCATATCCGCATTGTCCTCAGGGAAATAAAATTACGGGATAGTTTATATTTGGCGTGTGGTGCGTATGAAGTGGAGACGCATTTTATAAGGTTGAACATTCTATAAGGTTCGGCATTTAGTTTATATGTTGATATTTGCAGTTGTGCAGTTTCAAGCAAATGAATTTTTATTTAAATAAACAAATGTTAATTATTAAACATTTTTAATATAAAAATTTTGAGATTAAAGATATTTTACTGAATTTTATAAAGTTTAAAATTTGAACAAAAAAAAATTATGTTTAAATTATATGAAAGAAAATTAACAAATTGTTACGTGCTATATTAATTGATTAAACAAATAATTTTGCAGGTTGTTGCCTTGGTATTTGACACATAAATTCGTTATCTTCGTTATTTAGCATTAAAAAAAGTTTTCAAAAGTGAAATAAATCATTTAGAAAGTACTTAAACAAACAAGAGAAATTAGCAATTGCAAATTAAAAACAAATAAAGTGTGTAATTATAACGTCATATACTTCATTAAAGCTTATAATAAAACTTAATTAGTTTATGTAGTTGCTTTCGTGTTAGAAAAGCAATAACTACAAGCCACCGATTTGTAAACAAATTAGTGTAATAACACAACCATAGCTGTAGTACAAAATTTATTAATATTTAAACAAATTATAGCTATAATATAAACAAAAACAAAAAAACACAAATTAAATACATTCCAAATTTTCACCACAGCTGTTAGTTACAGAAGTTAATTGTTACAAATAACTCTTTAAAACAAAAATACTTAAACACAATGGGTTGTAATACTAGTCAAGAGTTAAAGACAAAAGACGGCGCTATCGCCATCAATGGTGAGGAGGTATCTAACACTTCGCCTGTTGAAAATTTTGAGCAACAAACACAAAACGGTAATGTTCACAGCAATGAACAACAACAAAAGGGCGGTGTCATTGGAGGCGACCACAATTCGGTTGGTGTTGATGATGATAACGTTACTGCCAACACCCAAATTAAATCGGGTAATAGTCACAAGCATCATACCAAATCAAGTTCAATTATATCGAATGGTGATGCTAACAAGCATTCAAAAGATGCAAAAATTGTCTTTGACTCATCGTCAGCATCGCCACAGAAACCATTTTCAATATACAAAGAAAATGGTATTGCTACATTGAATGGAGATGGGCAGCTTAGGCAATATGGTAGAGCGGAAATATCAGAATTGAATGATATGGAACTGGGCGAGGATGAAGGTGAGTTCTTTGCTTGCTCTGTGATGACTGTATTTGAATTTGATACCCACACCTCATTTTCATTAATTTACAATTTTAATGGTTTCAACTCTGTGGCTTTTGTGGGTGCAAAAGTGCACTTGCAAAATGTACTATACTTTTTCGTTCCATTTACTTCATTTATTTCATTTTTTTTTTGTGTTTTTGTCATAATTTATTTAAATTTATATGCTTTCAACACCCTTGCCCAAATGCCGGGGCGTGTTTATCAGTTCTGTAATGTTCACATTGTGAAAGGTAGCAAAAATAAAATATTTTATTTCTACATCTGTGTAATAAAAGAAATACACAAAACGACTGAAAATAAAAATAAAAATAAAAATACAACTTAAAACTCTTGCCATTTCGGTTCGTTGGAAATTTAAAGCTTTTATTTTATTGCAAAATATATTTGCGTCATAAACTCTACAGTATTTTAGGACTTTAAAAGGGATTTCCACGAATATGCGTTATTGAAGACGTGGAAGGAGACAGCAGGCAATCAAAAAATGAGTAATACGGAAATTAAAACAATGAAGCAAGCATAAAATTGTGTAGAGCAATTTAAAAATAATTAAAATTTACATGAAAATATTAAAAACTGGATATATGCAATTAAATGATTTTCAAGTACTCAAAAATGCAAATTTATTAAAAAAAATTGAGTAATGGTGAAAATTTTTAAAGAAATTGATATTTTTTATTTTTTCAAAAAATTAAGAATTTGAGCCATTTTTAAAAATTAATATTTAATTAATTTATAAAGAATTAGCAGAAGATATGTATTAAAGGGAATCCGTTATTATTAAAAATTTTAATTTTAATTTTAACCATTAATAAAAATCCGTTATTATTAAGAATTTTAATTTTAATTTTAACCATTAATAAAAATTAATATTTCATTAATTTATAACAAATAAGTAGGATATATTTATTAATTAGAATCCGCTATTATTAAGAATTTCATTAATTTTTAAAAATTAAGATTCAATTAATTTATATTCAATTAACAGAAAACATGTATTAAAGGGAATCCGTTATTATTAGAAATTTTAATCATTAATAAATATTAATATCTAATTAATTTATAACAAATTAGTAGGATATATTTATTATTTGGAATTCGATATTATTAAGGATTTTATAAATTTTTAGAAATTAATATTCAATTAATTTATAATAATTTATAATCAGCAGGAGATATTTAGCAAATGGTATCAGTTATTATTGAACAGGAATAGGTATACCAATCGAAATTACCAACCATTATAAATATTAATATTTAATTAATTTATAATCAATCAGCAGAAGATACTTAACTATCTTTTAACTATCAATTATTATTAGGTGTATTTGGCTGCTCCGAAGTGTGACTAAAACAAAAGAACAAATGTCTTGCTAAAGTCTCTAATTTGTACGCAAAATAACAGCACTACTCTCTTGTTCTAACAGATTAGTTGTGATTAATTATTAATTAAGATTAATTATTTAAGAAAGTGCAGAAAAAAATGTTATAACCACAATTTTAAACATTAAAAGTATAAAATTTTAAAGAGCAATTTATTAATAATTAAAATTTATATGAAACTATTATAAGCTGGATGTATAATATGATTTTCAAGTACACGAAAATATTTTCATTTATATTTTTTTTAAAAATAATTATTTCACGGGCTAATTGGTCAGTTATTAAATAAATTTTATTATTTAGTTTTATAAAATTTTTATTGTCCAACATTTCGACTATAATCTATAGTCATCATCGGAAATCTATATAGACTATATGACTATAGATTATAGTCGAAATATTGGACAATAAAAATTTTATAAAACTAAATAATAAAATTTATTTAATAACTGACCAATTAGCCCATGAAATAATTATTTTTAAAAAAATTTCTTTTGGTCATTAAAACATTTAATTATTTATATTTTTTAAAATAAAATATTAATGAAAATAACAAATAAGGATCAAAACTTTTGAAGAAATTAATAACATTAATTACAAATATTTAATAGTAAAAGCAAAAAATATGATACTCAGCGAGCCCAGATTCTTCTTGATATTCCTTTCAAATAAATAGTAATATTTGTAAATCTATAATTAGCTTACAAAATTTTAATTTCAATTAATTCACTCGCAACAGATGGTTCACTATAATTCATTATCTACATAAATGCATTTTGTGCACATATATAAAATGTTTGGTATACAAGACAACATCGTTGTTGTTGTTAATTTTTTATTATTGAGGTAGTTTTTATATTTTCTTTTATGTTGCTTCCTATTGGTGTATTGGTTTACCTGGTGGCTGTTTCCATGACTCTAATTAACGCTTTCGCGCTGTTTTGATGCCACATACTTCTTATTAACTGATTAACTTGAGATTATTGAAGATTATTGCTTCTATTCTCTTATGCTATTAAAGATATTAGCTCTCAACTCAATTTAAATGTATGCATTTGGAAAAATTTTTAGTATGTAATTATAGTACTTATGACTTATAAATGATCGTTTTTCATGTCTTTTAAGCACGCAGTTTAAACTGAACCGTTTTTAGCGAATAAACGTATCTTGGATATATATTTATTCATCCTGAACATATTCATATATACATCAATAAAATATTCATTATTTGGGTAGATGATTTTAAGTTTTGATCAATTTACGTTGGAATATAGCGGATATATTTGTTTAATTTTATAACATCAAATATTTAAGCAAAATAGTCAGATAATTAAATTAGTTAATGCATAAAAATTAATTGTCAACTACACTAGAAGTTAGAAATGTTATATGGTTTACTAAAACTTCATCACACAAAGTGTAATTCTGAATATAATATATTAACCATTCAGTCGTCATGTCAAGAGTATTAATGTAGAGTTGTATTGTAAAGGGTACGTTTCATGTGCTCTAGAGTTCAATAAAAGTTTATATTTTACATGTCAAATAAATGTTTGTAATATTTTTAATATTTTTTAATATTTTTTTTTTTATTTTTAATTTATATAGTTTAAATATTATTGTTATAAATCATTTGTTATGAACCATCCTGAGAAAAAAATTAAATAAATTATGAAACATTAGCAATTTTTACATAATATATAAACCATATAATATATACAATATGTACATTAAACGTATAAGTTTAAATAAGTTTGTAAACATACTTATGCAAATGTATGAGTATGAATAGCAAAAAACGCCTATTTTTAGGCATAATTAAATTTTGTGATAATAACATAGAATTAAAATGAAGGCGTTGACTTTGGTTGAAAAATATTATCTTTTCATTAAATTAGGCTTAATAAAAATGTTAATTTATATATAAAACTAACATTATTTACATGGTAAACAGAAAAATCTAATCAGGCAATCCTATGTACACTCCTCAATTATTTATCTTTAATTAACTTTTAGGCTACACAAATTTAATTGAATTTTTATTACGGATAACTGAGCAAATAATTAAAAACATACATACTTTATATATATATATATATATATATTTTCATATATTTTCACTATATACTGTCACATACGTATAAAAAAATTTTAATGAAATTTATACTTCGTACATATATAAATTCTGTCAAAATTTTTGATGTTAATTAAATAAAATTATGTTAATTTGATGGGTTTTATGTGAAACAGACACTGAAATTGCCACTTCCTCTCCTGTTGCCTCAGTTTAATGTATTAGTTTTGGGGTGTGAACCAATTTGGTGTTAGCCTAATCAGCTGCTAAATGAGTTCATTTTGTTTTAACGAACACAAACAAAAAAAAACTTTAAGATCCGCATAACACCCAAATTAAGGAAAATTTTACAATAGTAAAACTTTTGAGTATCACAGAAATCAGGCACAGAGTTTTCGAATATTTAATTAAATAACCCAACTGCTCTTATTCGTATAAAAAGGATACAAGGGTTGCGCTTAACGTAACATGAATATGCTTGTGTAGTAAGGTTACAGAATATTTTTATTTGCATCATATTGCTTACAGGCTAGTTATTTTAATTAAAGAGTTTTCAGATACTTATATCCATAAAAAATTTATAAAAAATATTTCATTTACATAATGAATTATAAACTTTTTTGAATATAAAAGTATTTAAGCTTGTATAAATAAATTTCTTAGTTTTTAATTTAATTCAGAATTTACTTATATTTCTTAAACAAAAGTTTTTGGTCAATGACTTTTACAGAACTGGCAAAATTTGCCAAAAATTAAAGGATCAATTATTCCACCACTTACACAGTCATCCAAATTATAAGTAATTTTTATGGTTGTCGTGTATACACATTGATATCCTTAAGCTAAATCCGTTTCTCGCCATTATTGTGCTGCTCTCTTTTCCTTTTGGCAAGGAAAGGACTTTCCTGGTACAGTTTTTTTTTGTTTTGGCAAATTTTGGCAAAAATCCTGGTAAACATAAAATGAATTTCACTGAACTGCGAAACTGTGTTAAAACTTGCGAAAATTACTGTATTGACTGACTGACACAATGGTTTTGAATGTGTTAATTTTCTTGAGAAAAAAAAAACTACTCACTAATAGTAATTAACTGAGTATTGATTAGCTAATTCAAGAAATTTTGTTAATATAATTTTTTTGTGTAATTGAATCAAATTAAATTTATTCGATTTATTAAGAGTTAATTTCCTCTTAATTAAATTGAAGCCTTTTAGTAAATGTTTTCAAAAAGTATAGTAAAATACAATACATTTGTTTATTTTGTATCTATTGTTATTATATTTTTATTAACCCTTAATAGAAAGGGTTATATATATATTTATAATAGATTTTAACCCAAAAATTCGTTCGATTAACTATACTTGCATAAACTTTATTCATGGTCCGCAGATATACACACCTCTAATTAAATATTTTTAAAAAACTTCAATTATGTATATTAATTTGATTTATTAATATAAATTAAATATGTATATATCAATATAATTTACTAAAGTAATT